GTATTAGAAACTATATTTTTAAAACTAATATTTAAAGAGTTTATCAAGAAATTGTAATTTATTTTTTTAATTAAAAACTTTTTTAAAAATTTTATATTTTGGACTTATAAGCAACTACAATTTTTTTTCTTATAATTTAAATACATATATAGCAAGAATATAATCTTTATTTTCAAATATAATTGTGTAAAATTTTATTTAAATATTTTAAAGATTTAAAAAAGTAAATCAAAAATATATTTATAGTATAAATTGCAGGCAAATTTGCCTGCAATTGCTTACCATTTAAGGGATAATATTTTTTATATATAATTAAATATAACATTTAAATAAATTCTATTTATAATTACATTGAATATTATTTTATATAAAATTTTTATGTAGCTTTTATATATTTATAAAAGTTATATATTATAACTATATAATCTTTATATATTAATAAATTATAAATAAAGTATTTATATAAATTTTATATACTATATCCTGCCGTGAATAAGCACCCATCTTTTGCAATTTTCATATCCAAGTTTCTCATGATCTAGTGATTGAATCTGTATGATTTTGGTACTATTCGAATTGGTTTTATAAGCTAATTCGAATAGTACCAAAATTATATAGATCCGATCACTAAATCATGAGAAACTTGGATATGAAAATTGTAAAAGGTGAGTGCTTATTCACGGCAGGATATGGTAGGCATAAATTCTAAATAAAATATTTATATAACTTTTATATAGTTATAGATCTTATATAAATAATTTAAATAAATATTTTATATAATAATAATTATGTGTAATTTAATATAAAGTTTATATAAATTTTATTTATAATTATATAAATATAATTTTATATAAAAGTTTTATATAATTTTTATATATTATAAAAGTTATATATTAAAAATATATAATTTTTGTATGTTAATATAATAAAATTATTATATAGATTCTATGTGAGTTTATATATGGCTGCTAAAAAAAGTTATTATACCAAATGAATTAAAGGTTATTTAATAGGTTTTCAATATGCCACTATTTATCATTATTATCACATGACTTCATGGACATGAATGTCTATGAAGTCATGTAATAAGAATAAATAATGGGTTAACTGGCAAATTATTTACTTATTTTTTTAATATAAATTATATGAATATATGTTATACTTAATTGTATAGGAATATTTACCATAAAGTTAATCCTTGCAAAAGTAGTTTTGGATTTTTGAGCGATTTGGCAATAGATGGAAATGATGCCAATAAATGTGTTGAAATATGAGGTATATTCAAAAAGCATATGCAAAATATATATTATCAATCTGTCATAAGTAGAAATGAGTTTCATGTGTGTGCATGATTTTTCTCGTGTATATTTAAATTTTATATACTGTAAAAAAAAAAAAAAAAAAAAAAAAAAACAGAGTTCAAAATCTTTTAAGCCTATTTAATCTGTAAGCAACCATGGATCATAAAAATATATTCTATAAAATGTGTGAAAAAACTTAAAAAAAAAAAAATAAAAAATAAAAAAAAAAAAGCCCTCTTTCCTATTTTTTCCGATGTTCTATTTTTTCAAATCTCAATTTTTTTGACATCCCAATTTTTTTTTTTTGATATCCTAATTTTTGCGACGTTCTATTTTTTTGATGTAATAATACTTTTCAAAAAAAAAACCAGCATCAATTATTGATTTATCATGGATCTATTTGATTGTTGTAATTTTTATATCATGTAAGCTTGTACATAATATAGTTCATTTTTTCTAGTAACGATAAATATAACTAATTAAATACTCTACTATTAATTTAGAAACTATATTACCAATTGATAGCAGCATTAACAAATGTTCAGAATTATTATTATTGTACACAATATGAATATTAATCAATATCAATTCAGATAAATAATAAAATGTAAATTAAAACTAACAATTTTTTTTACAATTCTTATTATTGTATAATAGATATATATAATTACATATAAAGAAAATGTTCTATACAGTTATACGAAAATATTAACATAGTATGAATTTGTTGCATCGAATTGTGGCACAATATAAACAAGATTATTAATTGATTGTACTGGGATCAAATTGTAAGTGTTCGTTAACTGTAAATAAGGGCACTCATACTTGTAAAATTTTGAAGGGGTATTTGGAAATTTAAAATTGTACCAACGAATAAGTGCAAGATTAAATGTCATAACATCTTTTAATTTCATATGAACCAATAATAAAACCTAAAAGATTAAACTAGAATTTAGTCTTAATTGTGTAGAAATTATTTATTTAAATACATATAGTTCCTTTGCAAAACAATATCCGTTAAATGTTTCAAATTCGACTTGTTTAGATAGCAATATTGCTAAATACTGGCATATTATGATAATTTCTTGTAGCTCTTACTTGTTCTTTGTTGGATAGTGTAAAAGATTCATATAAAATAAAGATTATTTCGGATTCTTCTATATCTCCTTCAAATATAGATATAAGACCAAAATAATTATTCATCGCAGGGATAAGATGACACAAACCCTCAAGAATTTCGGAGGTACATTCTTCACTATCTTTATGTAATTCAATAAGTGATTTTATAAGGCACCGTGGTATAGTGCAATATTTTTTGCCAAATTTTCCTGAATTTTCTTTAGATTTTAATCGGTTATTTTGTAATAAAATACGTTCGTAAATATCCTTGAGTATAAGAGTCCGTGTAATCTATAAAGTCTTATATTAATGTAAGTTAAATAACAATACCAAGAATTAAATAAATCAAAAACATTTTACAAAATCTGTGTGTCAATATCACGCTTATTTGACATTCTATAAGGAGCTTTGATATACTGTTTGTGAAGTGCTTTATATGTCTTGGCACTCAATCTATTTAGATTTCCATATTCTTTAATCGTTTCGATAGTATGGTGTATCCAATGATGAAATTTTAAAAACCGGCAGCTGTTCTTAGTGAACGAACTGAGAATATCAACAAATTCTTTTGCCTATATTTGAATTGATAGCTATAATTATAAACTTAGTTAATATAATAAAAAATATTAATTATTATATACAAAAAATTACTAACCTCAAACTGAAAAAGTTTAGTCTGTGTAAATTTATATTGCCTTGATTGTTGATACATTTTATTCCAATTAATGAACATATTAACAAGTGACTCATTTTCTTCAATGAGGCCTTCAAGAACAAAAGGCATAATTTTCATCATATGCTTATACTCGGATGCAGTAAATAGAGCAAGATCCGCAAGACCAGAATTGAATACTTTCAATCCAGGATAACGTGGGATTAGTCCAAGTCTTAAATCCATTTTATTAACAAGAGTGATTCCGCCGTGAAACTTTAAAAGATCTCTTGTAAATTTAACCATATACGGAAAAAGTCCTAGATCTAAGTGGTGCATTCGCTCGGGAACCATTGCTATGTAAATATTAAAACATCTATAATGCCAATATAAATTGTATAGTATATTAAACTAGATTATATAATACCAAAATTTGAAATTATAATTAGCAAACTACTTACAGATGACTCCAGAAGCTGTTAATTTCTTCATATAAAGAATAATATTTTCCCTGTCCAGTTGCAATAACCTATCGTATTTGATCTTCTGTTCGAGTAGCTTTGCGATTTCTAGGTATTTTAATACACAGATCGAAAGATAAAAAATCAGACACAAATCAGGTACCTGATTTGTGCCTGATTTTTTATCTTTCGACCTGTAATAGCATTGAGTTCATTCTTTTCTACAAGACAAGTGTGACAAGGATGTGCACAACTTGTCCCGCTATAGGTTAGACATGATTTGCAGTTTTTAGACCAGTCTCCAATAATATTAGCCAATACCATATTATATCTTAAATTATAAGAATTAATTTTTAATAAGACTTCGGATTGATACTGCAAATGTAGAGGTTTAATAAATATTTTAATACACTTATAAAAAGTTGATCTGATTAATTGTCTAAATTGCGGTGTTTGTTGTTTCTCCTTAGTGCCCTGTAATGTAGGTATGATGCCAACAAGTGCCTTTGATTTAGCTTTGTTTCGAAGATTTGTTGGAATATTACCCAAGCTAATGAATACCGGATGACGAGAGTTCTTTCCTAAACGATCTAGTGTGGTCGTATCCAAATATAATATAATGGCTAAAACTTTATGACCAAACGGAATATGCTGCTGCACATGGCCCCACCAATTGCAGTTATAAAATTCAGAGTAAACTCGTTCTTGGTGTCCCTAAAAATTAGAATATATATAATAAGTTATCTAGTATAATGTTTTATTATACAATATAGTTCAACTTTAATTTATCCGTAGTAGTGTATATTATTAATCTGTTATAAATTTTTTTTCATATAGATTTCAAATATTATGCAATAAGAAATAACAACCACACATTATAAAAATATTATCCAAATTAATGACTAATATGTAAAATATGTATTATTTTAAAAATTTTACTTGCCTCTACTGATGTATAAATCTCCTGATAATCAAAAATGCAGTTCATTGCAATTTCTTAATCTTGAATAGCTGAAATAATTGGCTGGTGCTTAAACAAATATGTTTGATTCCTTACTTGTGCAACAGAAGTGGAAGAAAATTTTACATGATTTTTCTTTAAAGTATCCAAGAAATGAAGACCTTCCTTAGTTGATCGAGGAAGAATTTTCTTTAGAATCTGGCCATATTTTTCATAAATTTCAATATTGCATCACCTGCTATATAAGAAAGTTGATATTGGGTTACCTAATATTGGCAATAAAATTGTTTAGATACTAAATATCTAATCTCCAAAAGAATAAGAAATGTAATACTTCCTATATCTATAAAATCCCGATATATAACATTAGGGAAGTCTATATTATCGTGTTCACCATCATTGCTCCAAAGTTTATCCTCGGTTTCCTCAGAATCTTCTAATACATCCTCTTCAAATATTTTGTTTAAATCATCAGCATTCTCTTCACTAAACACGTCAGCAATCTCACAATCATTGAATATTGGGTCACACTTATCAACAATCTCCTGCTCATCAAACATTGAAACAAACTCATCATCAAATATTGAACTCGATTCATTTTCAGTCTCGTGATCATCGAATATTGAATCAGTTTCATTGGAAGTATCTTGGTTATTTAATATTAAATCAGATTCATTGGTGTTCTCTCTATTTTCAACTATTAAATCAGATTCATTAATAGTCTCTTGGTCATCAAACATTGAATCAGATTCATCGGTGGTCTCTTGATCATCACATGTAAGATCCAACTCAATTTTTTGTGCATCAAATACTGGATATGACTTATCAGCACTATCTTGATCCTCATATATTGAATCGCAATTGACAATATTATTCTTTTTATTATTTGTCTGCTTATGATATCTGGTTCATTAGAAATATCATTATCCGTACTCTCGTCTGTATTGGTGGAAAAGCTAGTATCAGTTTCATCTTCAACTTGATAATACTTTCTATGAATTTTCTTATGATTTATGAGGCTTGTTAGATGCTCAAATCTATTTTTACAAATACTGCACACAAACATGAGAAAGGTTAGAATAGATTTGTAATGAACTTTGAAAATTAATTATGAATTATTGAATTATATAGAAAATAAATTACGTAATTATATATTAAACTTCATAAATGAAGTAATGTATACATATTAGAACGGCAACTACCGTTTGCTCAAAGCTAAGTTTAATATCAAAATTTTGTAATAATATATATTCATACTTTTTCTAATTGTAACCAATGATACCTTCCCCTAAGTATTCGAAATATTCGACGGTTCCTCCTGTTGTATGCAAATGATCAATTTCAATTTCCATATTAATTTATTAAATAAATATGTCATACGTATGTAATTGTTAATTAGATCGATCGCTTATCACATTTTTTCCCTTATAAAGGTAGTGATCGACAACTTTAACTCTTCAAGAAACTCTATATGTATTATTACTTTCTAAGAACTCTTTCTTTTTTATATTATTACTATGCCTCCTAAAAGTAGAAAACGAGAACTTGGTACAGAACAGGATGAAGTGACCTCGGTAACTAATGAATACTAAACTTTCGAACTTTTGTATAAATTTTTAGGCTTACTTTTTTTTATTTTTTTTTTTCAGGTATTAGATGCGTTAAAAGCTGGCTCTTCAACTTCTGCTATGAAGAAACAACAAAATACCAGTGGACTTACTTGCCAACGTTCCCAAAAGAATAAAGTATCACACCAGTTCAAAAAAAATAACATTGAGAATGTTAATAATAATGATGTCGATAATATTGATATCGATAATAATTTTCAAAGCTCCTTTCATTCTACATCGGCTTCTTATGAAATTACTGAAAGCCCACCTAGATCTCCACTTAACAAAATCTTAACCAATACGTCAGAAAAGTTGTCTGTTGACACTTATCGTGGTTAGTTTTAGATATATAGATATATACTTCATTATAGACTATAAATACGGTTACTAACTATTAAATTAATTATTCTTAGACGAAGAAAGCAAAACTATAAATGCATTATTAGAAATGACTAACAAAATATTAATGCAAAACACTTCTATTATGGAGAAACAAGAAGCTCTAGAGTCTACAGTTACATACCTTGTTAGAGACATTAAGGCTTTACAATCTTCACAAGAAAATTTAAAGTTGAAGGCAAATGACAATGGTTATGAATGGTGACAGGTATATAATTATTTTTTTTAATTTTTTTTTAAATTATACTAATTACTTATTTAACACTTTATTAATTGTAATAAGGTATATAGCTACGAGATTTATGCAATGAATTAGTTTAATTCAAAAGAAATAAAAAAAAATTTTGTAGAAAGGAGTGACACAAGGTATAAAATTCTCCATAGATAATTGGCTTTATTCCAATGAAAGAATTTATGAAGAATCTATTCATAAAGAGCTTGAAGAATTTTGCCCTGATAAAATAGAACGGTATAAAAAAATTTCCAGATGGGAAGGATTGTATAGCAAGATTGAAAATTCGGTAAAGAATAATAATTTAGTGCATAAGCTTCACGATTATATTACATATTAATATTTAAATATAGATCGGTGCAGAATCATGCAAGTACCATGGAGCTTTATTCGGATCTTTTCGTCATGCTGTGTTTGAGAATGTTTTTAAAAACAAGATTTCGCCCTCTGTTAATTCGGAAAGTTCTGAAGCCGAAATAACTTCTTGGAAATCAAGTAAAGAGGTACAATGGTGTTTCGAAAACTTGGACACAATTATCAAAGAAGAGAATAAAACATATCTTCAAATGGTTGCCAAGAAAGTATTTGGCCGACAACCTACAAAGAACCAATGTGCAGTAACACGAGCTATCTTACATAATTTGTTCAATCCCAAAATTGTCAAAATTAAATTCGACGAAAAATATTTAACAAGAAAATTAAAATCTTTCTTGGTAGGTCTTAATTATATC